CCTCAGGCTCTTCTTTAGCTGCGAGAACAAAGAGCTGGTCCTGACCGGCAGTGCAGACAAATGTTGAGGTCCTGGCCTTTGACTCCTGTTTCTGTTCTCGAACAGCTGTGTGACTTTGAAGATGTATTCTCTCTGTACCTCAGCCTCCTTATCTGCAGAATGGGAATGACAGCAGTACTGATCTCAGTACTATTTAGACCTCTGGTGCTTGGGTGCTGGAGAAATGGCATGAGGACTGATCAGTCTCACAGAACAGTTACCAACTCCTCCCCAACCCCAAGGCAAAGTGACTTGTTTGTACCCTACTGTATACTTTCCATACTTTTTTGTTTGTTTCTGTGACAGGGTTCACTATGTAGTTCAAACAGGCTTCAAACTCCCAGCGATCCTCCTGCCTCAGCCTTCCCAGTGCTGGGACTACAGGTGTGTGTCACCACGCGTCTCCATACATTATTATTTTTTTTATTTTAAACCAGGGGTTGAACTCAGGACCTTGCTCTTGTGAGGCAGACAGTACCACTGAGCTACATCGCAAATCCTGCATATATTATTTAAAAAAATCTTCACAGCCACTTAAACTGGCATGTATTATGCCCTTTAGCAGATATAGAAATTGAGGTTCAGTCTGGTAAGGGAATGTTTGGCTTAGATTCAAGTCCAGGCCTTCCTGATTCAAAGCCCACATTTTTCTCACTTGTAGCTCAGCTGGTCTCCAGGACTGCAGTGTGGTCTGTGACCCTGGGAGGCAAGAGCCCCTCTTGGGTTGATCCTTCATATAGGACCTTGCAGGAGTAAAAGTAGTAGAAGCTTGAGCCTGTGTGTTATATGTGGAAGCAAAAGAGTCATAAAGGGCCCAGGGCGGAGGCAGGAAGATAGCACTCTGCATTGCAGGCTGGGGAAGGGAAGGAAGGCAAGGCTGCAGTGTGCCTGGGTCTGTCAGGCAGCACAGGACTGTACTTTAGTGTGCATGAACATATGCACCTGCCAGGCACATACCTGGACGCATGCCCACATGTCTACAGTCATATACACTCTGTGTGCTCAGGCCTGTGTGAGCCCATAGTCTCAGCCTGTGTTAGGTAAGGCAGCCCTGCCTCCCTCTCTCTGGTTGGCCTTGGGCAGCTGAGTTCTGACCAGGCCTTTGTTCTTTTCCTTGATGGATTAGAGGGAACTGCAGTGCTCTGGAACTAAGTTTATCAGAGGTTTCAGAAATGGTCCCTTGCTCTTCACCTAGACCACTTAAAGAAACTGTAAGCAGATGCCATGTGGATACAGGTAGAAAATGCTTTAAAAAATGAAGGAAGAGGAAAGAGAAGAGCTGGTAGCTAGTGAGGGAGTCAGGGTCAAGGGAGGTAATTTTAAAAATGGGAAAGAATTCTGTTTGCTCTGGGGAGGGAGCAGCAGGAAGCATAATTAACTGATGGGCCAAGGTGGCTGCTGGGCAAGGACAGGGTCAAGAACTAAGGTGGGTGGACCATTGGGTGCTTTTGGTGGATCTAGACATAGGTGAAGGTGAAAACAAAGGGCCAGTGGCTTCATTTTTTTTCCTAGCTAAAATGGGAAGAAATGACCTACAGTGTAAGTCTCAGAAGAGACTGAGGGTAGTGACCAAGCAGTAGAGATGAGGTATTAGAGACAAGGTCCCCTCCGGGCAGGGGTGCATTGTGGAGGAGAATGGGTATGATGCTGGAAAGACAGATGTAGAAAACTGGAACTGGGTTCACATAGTCTCTGATTTGGAGCAGTTGCCAGTGATGACCAGGGCCAATGTGTTTAGTGTGTGAGTGTGGATTTGGATGAAGATTGCTGGAGAACAGGGCAGGTGCTAGTGAGAGGGAGCATGGCTCAAGTCTTTGGGGGAATAAGGGGCTGGAGGACACCATATGACAGCAGTGAGGAGAATCAGAGTCTGGAAGCGGGAGGAAATGTACTGCTAAGTCCAGATCCAGCGTCATCTTCACTGTGCTCTTTCTTCTTGGAGAGGGTCTGTCTTAGTTAATTTCCAGTTGCAGGGACAAAATACCAAAAACCTGCAACTTAAGAGAGGTTTATTTTGGCTCACAGTTTCAGTCCATGGTCTACTGGCTCCCAGGCAGAAACAGCATGGTAGAAAGGCATGGCCCAGGAAAAGGTGCTCAACCCATGGTAATCAGGAAGGTGAGAGACAAAGGGAAGAGCTAGGGACAAGAATCACACCCTCCCCAGTGACCCACCTCCAACTAGGCTCCACCTCCTAACAGTACATTCAGCTATGAACTTATCAATGGATGGGTCCCCCGATGAGTATAAAGCTCCCATGATCCAGCTACCTTCCACACATGAGAATTTTGGGGGACATTTTAGCTTCAAATCGTAACAGGATCACTCTTCCCTGGCTTGCCTGGTTGAGTATGTTCAACATAAATCCTGTCAAGGGTAAACCTCTTTTCTTTTCTAATTAAGGAGCCAAACAGAAATAAAACAAAACCAAACACAAAAAATAAAAGAACAGGTTTGGGTTTGATACAGTAACACAATACTTATATTTGTGCAACTCTGATATTATCTCATATGACCCCGCAAGCAGAACCACTTGTGATTTCTGATGTCCTGGGAAATGACCCCTTTGACACTACTGACACCTCCGATCTCTGAAGACCCCGCTCAGCAAGTGCTGGAAAGCTGCACATCACCTCCTGCCTCCAGCTCTGTCCGTCTGTTCTTTCCTGCCTTTGGTGGTGCTTGCCACCCCCCGCCCCCACAGGAATAAAGCAGCCTCTAGAATTAGTTCCCCTTAAAGTGGCTCATGCCTTGTCTAGGGCAGTGGGGACAATAGTAAATCATTTTATTTTTAAAGAATGTCTTGTTGCCATTGATGTCAGGTCACAGCCACAGGAAGTAGTGAGATGACAGAGGTGCTGTCATGCAGCTGCTGTAAGGCAAACTGTACAGAACCAGAGAAGAGACTTGACTATTTTCAGGTTCTCCTTTACCATGCTTTCCTCATATACCTGTATTCAAGGTTCTGGAAACCCAACATTTCTTGGTGCTCTCTACAGGCTATTATGTGGTTCTGTAGATTGTATGCTGCCCAAGAGCACTACTTCTAAAGGGGCTGGTCCACTTGTATTTGTAGATAATGACAGTATTCCAGAGTGGCAGTAAAGTACCCCAAGGAAGCTAGCATGGCCCTGGATTTCTTTTTTTTTTTTTTTTTTTTTTTTTTTTTTTGTACTGGGGATCGAACTCGGGATCTTGTGCTTACAAGGCAGGCAGCAGCATCCCTGAGCTAAATCCCCCAGCCCTGCCCTGGCCTTTTCTTAAGACAGGGTCTACGTGGCCCAGGCTCGTCTCAAATTCCTGGACTCTAGGGATCCTCCTGCCTTAGCCTTATGGGTGCCAGGACTATATAGGTTCTCAACATTGCCCCTGACTATCCCTGGCTATCCCTGGCTTTGTGTGTTGTGCCTATGCCTTTGAAAGTGTGATCCTGGGATGCATTGCTCCTGGTAGCCTGCCTGCTCAACTTAGTCCCTCACCTACTTCAAGAGCCAGTGAAGACACCACTTCAGTAAGGTGTGGCAAACTGCCTTGAGCTCCAAGGCCCCTAGCACATAGTACTTCTATTTCCCACTTTACAGAGGACAATGCCTATCTCCTCCACATAGCTGAGCCACTCTCTTCACCTTTCAGTCAAGCCCTATGCCTAGCAAGACACCTAAGATTTACACAATTAAAATTTGCTGAAGAGGGATCGGTGTGCAGCTTGGTGCCTGCTTAGCATGTCTGAGATCCTGGGTAGAACTTCCTGCACTGCTGAAGAAAAAATGGGAGTGTGTGAACCTGTTAGTAACTTATCAAAAGCTTAGGTCTGAGAAATATGGGCCCATTCAGTCCTCAAAATCTTGTCCTAGAATCAGCCTGGCCCACTAGAGCCATGTGCCTGGACAGTCCTGTTCTTTACAGTGTTTGGCTCCTGCCTTGACTGGTGTTGGAGGGCAGCACAGGAAACAGCCTCAGAACTTGTCTCCTTTGATTGTGGCACCTATGTCCCAAAGGCCATTGTTCATTACATCTCACAGATCTATTTCCCAAGGCTCAAGAGTAAAAGTTCTAGGGTCTCTGTGTCAGAAACATTTTCACTTCTTTTGAAAAAAGTGTTTTTTATTTTACAAGGTGAATCTGACCACATCCTATTTCCTTGGTGACTGAGAAGTGCAGAGACAAATTCGTGATTCATTTTCTAGGATGTATACTACTGTGAACTCACTTCCCCTCTTCTCCAGCACACAATCTATCTAATTTCTAGTTTAAATATACTTTTGTGTTGTAGTGACACATTTTGGGAATGAGGCACATGGCTGCACCTGCCCAGAGCCTACAGCTGTCACATGCAATTAGGTCTGGAACCCAAATGCTCTGATCTCATCGGGTAGTGGCCAAAAGAAACTGAGTGGCAGGGAAGTAAGTAAATGCCCTGGGTTAGCCATTGTGATTTCCTAGGGATAATGAGGGACTGCCATATATGAGGGCAACTGTGACCTCAGGCCTTGGAATCTCAAGGAAGGCTGGGGTGAACAGAGCATTTAGGAATTTTGAAATGCTGGGCCACTAGGTTAGGAACCCTGGGAAGGCCTCATTCGACCTCTGCAGCGGCTCATGGAGGGTGAGCAGCAAACACCTGTTGCCAAATGAGCCTTGCCTGGGTTTGACTCTCTCCACTGCCTGGCCCATTAGGTGTGAAAGTAAGGACCATGTGTCCTACAGAGAGCATGGCTGGTATGGCCAGGATAAAATAACGACTGCTTGCAAGGTGAAGTTAGGGCCAACCACATTGTTTTTGGTTTCCTCAGGGTTCTGAGGAAAGTAGTCTCTGATAACTTCAGTCTTGGTCAGAAGGGGTAACTAGTGGCTGGAGGGGGGATGCCTAGGAGAATGGAAGGGTAGATGCTGAGTACTGGGCATTTTAAAACGTCAGTCTTCAGGACCTCACCAGGCACCCCTCTCCCTCCTGTCTGCAGCTCTGTCGAAAATGCACTGGACACCGGAACACGCCCAGCCCCTCAACCAGTGGCCAGAGCAGCACCTGGATGTCTCCTCCACCACCCCGTCACCAGCCCACAAATTGGAGCTGCCCCCAGGGGGTCGCCAGCGCTGCCACTACGCTTGGGCACATGATGACATCTCCGCCCTCACTGCCTCCAACCTCCTCAAGCGCTACGCAGAGAAGTATTCTGGGGTCCTGGACTCGCCCTACGAGCGCCCGGCCCTTGGCAGCTACGGTGATGCCGCCTTCCTCAATGGAGCCAAGGGGGACACGGATCCCTGGCCAGGGCCAGAGCCACCCTACCCCTTGGCCTCGCTGCACGAGGGACTCCCGGGAACCAAGTCGGGAGGCGGGAGCGGATCCACGGGCCTCGGGGGCTCCCCGGTTTTAGCAGGGAACCTGCCTGAGCCCCTGTACGCTGGCAACGCGTGC